ACAGGCTGCAGACTGTGAAGGTGTTAGGAAGAAAAGGACCAGTCATGCAGTGCACTCTGCAAAGACACTTTTGCCAAAAACTGAGTTTGACAAGCTCTAATAATGATCCTAAGAATAATTAATGTTCTCACTCCTCTAGCACATTCCTCCCCAGAAGGAAGAGAATTAATGGTGAAGCCTCCCAGGCTTTAGTGCAGATAAGCAATTTCAGCTAAAGAGACAATGGCACAAAATCCCTCTCTGTGGAAGTGCATTAAGAATGGAAGGTATGGATGTTCTTCCACCACCAAAGCAACTGTTCAACCTCAGAAATTTGAGTAGAGGACTGAAGTCCTTGAGGAGCAGCACACCCATTCAGCAGTGGCATGGCCAGGACAGTGCTGGACACCGAGTTCCAGCAGCTCCCAGGCTCCAGAGCCACGGGCAGAGCCCGAGGAAGTTGAAGGGCACAGAAGTTTGCAGATACCACCAGCATAAGAAACTTGTGCTGTTCCACAGCCTGGAGGGACAGGGGAGCAGGAACCTCACCCTCAGAGAACTGCAGCACGTTTCTGAAATACCTTTTATATTTTTTGTGCCTTTCTCTACTTTTTAGTGTTCACAGGGAACCAGATTTAATTTGTTGTCTTGCAGTCATCACATCTGAAACAGATAGAGTAGGAATGTAAGCTCCTTCATTTCAGGCCTTTTGCTTTAACCACAAGAACATCCATCTATGCTATGTAAAAGTCAGCCAGACCATGAGAACTGCATGATACAATCTACAAGGAATATTTTTAATGATGTAGCATTTTTGAAAGCAGATTATGCAAGGATACTTTTAAAAGGAATTATAATGTAATTTGGGTGTAGTCGCTACAGAAAGACAAATATAATTCATTCTTATCTTTTTCTAACTGCCTCCTTTTTCACTGCTGTCAGGAACCCTGCATGAAAACATATGATTTTACACCAACAACGCCTGCATCTTGCTTTACCAGATATGACAGTCTGTATGCAACATGGCAATCTGGGAACTCTGGAGGGAATTACATCAGCAGTTTGTGTTAAAGTTCTGTTTTCCATTTCTATTAGGAAGGATTATTTCAGCATCCAAATCAATATGACTGTATGGCAACATAAAATCTATCAGAGAAAAGTTTACAAGTAAGGTCTTATCTCTGGCTCAAGGAACAGATGTGGGAAAAAAAGACTGAAAATACGGAGTTCTCCCTATAGAATACAGTTAAACAGATAACAGTGTCAATGGCTGAATGCTGCAACTGTGAAATTAACTGCTCTTTGTTAATTCAAACTTTTAATAATTGGATTGTGGTAGTAAATAAAAGCAGCACGTTCCCTACCGGTTGTCTGTCATCTTTAAATTAAGGTAAAGCATCTATGTAAAAGATTTACTTCATTTCAAAGACTCACTGTTGGAGTGGCACCAAGTACTGTCATGGCAGGGAAAAGTAACTCTGAGCAGTGCAGAAACCAGGAGGGCAATAAAGCACTCAGAAAAGATTCCTGTTCTCATTTGTCCACGTATAGAATAATTAAATAGAATAAAAGAAACAGCAACTAGGAATCCTACTTCAAAAATGGATCTTCTGTAAGAGCTTTACTCTTGACATCCAGGAAACCATTTTTCTGCAGATCACAAGTGACAGGTTCTAGTAAAATATGAGTCAGATTTTCTTTTAAAGGGTGAGCTCTGTCATTGCATTATATTATATTAATGGATTAACTTGTATTTCTCCCTAACTTGATGATAAATGACAGTGAATTTTAGGTAGTTGTTTCCACTGGACATGTGCTGACCTTTACCTGACTAGAATGAAAGAGAAGCCCAGTGTCAACTTTAACCTTTCTATCCAAACCTACCACAGGGACAAACACATGTTAAGCAAACCTGAATGTTATCTTGGGCTTTTCCAGACTGACTTGGTAACGGCTCAATCTGCTCAGAGGAGCAACTAAAATACAGGAACAGGTTCCCTCTGGTAGCCAGGGACAACCTGCCTTCCCAGAGGAGTTAAAATGAACACCTCTTTTCTGGCAATCCACTCCTATAGCACATCCCTGTCCTGCATTCCCCACAGCAGCTCTGCAGCAGAGCCACTCAAGAGTCCCCAGCAGGCTGAGAGCACCCCTGTGTCTGCTGCAAACCTTCCCCAGCTTTGTCCCACGGGGCTGGGGCACAGCCTGCCACTGGAACACGGGCAGGGCTTCATCCTTGTGGAATACTTTGGAAAAATACCACCAAGTGTGACTGACTCACTGCTGGCTGCCTGAACAACAGCTTTTATCTTATCCCTACAGGATATTACCTGTATTAGCCAAGTACTTTGCTAATTTTACTGTTCATGAGTACTATTAATAAATCTTATCATGGAGACTCTGATGAGGAATTACAGATCATGTGGCTTGCCAATGACTTCCCACATCCCATCCTGAGAGTACCTGAAATAGCCAGAAAAACATCTCAGTTACAACCCAGGACCAGGTCAGTGACAGATTTCCTGCAGCTGTAGCTGGCACAGCTCCCACCAGGCAGCGTTTTAAGGCCTCCTCCTCTTCTGGCAGACTCTTCTTGGGAAAACCAAGAGCCAAAGCCCTGCTCATCTAGTCCAAAAAGTGGACTGCTTTGGAGGGGAGCAGAACATGATACTGACTGTGAAAATTAATATAACAGTCTTTCAACAGAGCTTTGCAAAGGCAAACAGTCCACTTTTGCTGAGACTGAAACTGAAATGAGGCATCTAAACAAGACAGCAGGGAGGAGGCAATGGGGAAGGCAAGCTGTTTGGTGAGGCCAGAATGTTACAGGCTCTCCTGGCAACCTTGTTTTTAATGACAAATGAAAATTGTAGAACTTGAAGAAAAGATTTTCCCAAATTCTTCGGGTTGAGACAAAATGCATCACACTGAACCAGCCATTCATTTCATCAAAATACAGATTAGAAGAAAATGCAAATAAAAGTCCAGATAAACCCATGGGAACCAGATCCAGGTATAAGAAGACTTTAATTTCCCTTGAGAAAGCCTCTAAACAATCCAGAAGGTATTAGTGACACAATTTAGAAATGATGGCCAATGCCTGGATAATGGAAATAATTGACCATTGTCCAAGCTACTAAAGGAAATGGGGGATTTTCTGTTACTTGGTGTTTTCCTGTCAAAACTCTGTGCCAAGCTGGAAGTCATGTCTTAGGCCAAAGAGAGCTCATGCCTTAGCTAAAAATTAAACAGAGAGGTCAAACCTGATCCACTTATGCCTTCTACCCTTAAATCCTATGTTTGTAAGGGGACAAGCAGGTTTTCCTGCTCCTTCTTCAGCCTTTAAGGAAAACAAGTGTTTTAATCTATTTAGAGGCCCTTTCTGACATTCTTTGGCTGCAGTTTTTCTCAATCAACCTAATCTTTTCCCATCGAGCTCCATGCTAATCCCATTTTGCTCCACTCCTTAAACTAATAAAAGATTAGAGTGACATTTCAGAAAGGGCATCGTATTAAGCAGCTTCTTTCACATCTCAGCAGACCACGGTGCACAAAATGTGGTGAACGGGCCATTAATCTTATGGTAATGAGGTGTCAGTGTGAATGGAGCCCTCCCTCCTCCTGGATCCGTGTGAAGGGCGTGGGGATAACGGGGACACAGCACCAGCCACCCCTGGCAGCTCTGCCAGCAGGCAGCAGGTCCATGGAGGGTTGTTTCTGTGGTGATGGCAGCAGCTCCTGTCCCCACTCTGCCGTGCTGTGACCATGGCCAGCAAACATTCACATGGACCTGTCACCCCCTGTGCTGCCAATACACAAAACGAGCTTTTCCTCTGTTCTAATTAGCAGCATAAAACTGTTTATCAACTTCAGCTTTGCTCTAACAGCTGATCAATTAGGATCAGCTGCCACACACATAGACATTTTTCACACCTCTCCATCCAGCTGGTGAAAACCATGGGCAACCTACTTCCTTCATTCCTTCTGGGGACAAGGCCAGTGCTTCTCCTGGCAACATGTCTGCATTGGTATTATCCAGTTGACTATAATACAGAAAGAATTGTTTCATTTTCTTCAAAATGTCACCCTTCCCCTAAAGAAAATTCCCTGGGAGGCTCAAGTGTTATCAAGTGCTGAGAAAACTTTCTGAGAAAAGTACAAGGTGGGTGATGCGTGGTGACATCCATCCTGTCCCCTGCTCTTCCCCACAGCATGAGGTGGGCTGGGAATTGCAGCTCTGCTGCACACACAGTGCCAGGAGTCTGTGCTGAACCCAAAATGCTCTGTGTGGTCACAACTCCATCTGTGCTCAGAGTAAACTGGAGCAACAGGGCTTGGAAATAACAACCAGGGGAGAGGGATGCTGAAGGAACCATGGACGAAAAAGGCAGCACATCCCTCCTTCCTAAAGAAATGTCTCCATGCATGGATTTCACTTGTATATTTGCTTTTCTTTCTTGTGACTAGTGAATAAAACCCGTGGATTTCATATCCTCAAAAGCCAAGTGTCTGAAGGTCAAATTACCCTACAATTTACCTTTGTCATTTGTGCTTTTTTGTGGTTGTGTAGTTACAGGCAAGAATTTCCATAAAAATATTCACCCAATAGAAGAGTTCAGCCCTTCTCCTATTTGAGGCAGTCTAACCCTGCAGTTGCACATTCACTGTTCTGTCTTGGTAGAGTCACTTAATGCTAGATATCAACAAAGAAACTGATTAATTGGAACTATTTCAAGGACAAAATTCACCAGAAACTGAAACTTTACAGTAGATTAGAAAATGCATTTTTCTACAGTTACAGGACGACACAGCATCACTGATATTGCCAATAATTGTCAAGTTTTACCCATTCAGCCTTTAGCTAAGTCTTTATTCTGACTTTCTCATCTAATTACATACATAAAAGAGATACCTGGAAGTAAAATAAAAGGCTTTTCTCCAATGCACATTGCTTAGAGAAATCCTGCCTCTCCTCTACCAATTTTGGAAGTCAACTGTCTTGGCAGAGCTTAGCCACTTACCTGTATACTGTGGTGGGTGGGGAGTTCAGGGTGTCATAGATGAGCCTCACGTGTCCTTGGTACAACTCCAGAGCCAAAGGATCATTGTCTCCTTTGTACAGTAAGATGCCATTGTCCTTGTCTGTGGCTACCTGTGAAACATTCATAACCACGTAAGACTGCTTGAGAATGATTAATAAAAGAAATAAACCTATATTTAAAATCTAACCAAAATAATACATGCAATTCAAATATAATTTAATACATAATATATATAAGCAGCAATGACAGCAAGAGCCAGGAGGCACAAAAAGGACTTGGTGCCCTTGGGTGGGCTCACACTTCCCATTTCACATGAGAACCAGTTTTCAGTCGTCTCCTGAACCTTAAGCCTGTAACAAAATCCCAGGCCTTTTGTCTGTTGAATAAGCAAAATATTGTCCAGAGAGGCCATTCAGAGCAGCCTGTTTTAAGAAGCATCATGACATTAAACACCAAGCTGAAGAGGATGAAACACAATGCTGTGAATCAGTGGGAAGACATGGAGCATTCCTGAATCATCCCTGCCTGCACTGCCAGTCTGGGAATCAGTGTGGAGAGATCCTGGAGGCAGGATGGGTGCCCACAAAGGCACACTGGTGCCTTAGTCTCTCCTTCACATTTCAGTGATTTTAGAGTAGACAAGCGGCTCAGAAACTGATTTTCCCAGGATTCTGGCCAGCAAACCCTGTTCTGTCAGCACGAGACACGTGCACGGGGGCACAGGTATGAGGAGCGTGTGACAAACCTGCAGGGAGATGTTGGCCTGAGGGCGGATTTTGGAGGGCAGCTCCACGTAGGAGTCCTTGCCCACGAAGTTGACGGTGATGAGCTTCTCGCAGCGCTGTCCCGCGAAGCCGGCCAGGCAGCGGCACACGGGCTCGTGCTGCGCCACGATGCACTGGGCGCCGTGCTGGCACTCGTAGTTGTCACACGGGCTGGTCTGCAGCAGCACCATGGGCGGAGGCGTCTCGCAGAACAGGCCACTGCACGGGCAGAGGGAAGGCAAACAGCCTCAGTCACCACTGTTTTCTCATTTTTATTCCAGGTGCTGCTGATGCACTGGAGTGGCTACCTAAAACAGAGGCTAGACAAGATTAAGAGAATAAAAGCGGAAGGCCTTCAATAAATAAATACCTGCTTTTATTCTCTTAATCTTATCTAGCCTCTGTTTTAGGTAGCCACTCCAAGGCATCAGTTTCTGGTGACCCAGCTGGGACAACGATCACAAGTTTTTTATACAGTTACAAGTTTAGTCCATTTACATACCAGGGTTAATCCAGTTACAGATTCAGATAATGAATTAATTTACTCCAAGTTTGTCCCCTCCCAATTCACTGTTGTTTATATCTCTCAGGGCCTGAGACAGTGAGGTGTCCTTGAGCTTCAGGCCTAGAGAGGAATTGTTTTATCTCAATAAAATGGGAGAACAGGAGATGACAGGCTATGGAGTTTTAGAGCTATACACTAAAGCAGTTCAGGATCTGAAAAATATAAAAGCTAAAATCCAGCAGCACTGCCATTCTGCTTTGGAGTAGCAGCTCTGAGGTCCAGCCACTGTGTGCTTGCTGCCTGATGTGAAAGGAGCACAGCTGAGTGCTGGCAGGAATCCCGTGCTGGATGTGAACAAGCCAGTGTAGACACTGAGAGCAGCCTGTACTGCCCTTTGCACTGGTTCTTCAGCTCTGCAAGGCACTGCAGCCTGGCTGAAACAGCTTCCACCCTTACTGTGCCATGCAGAGGTTCCCAGTGAAATCTGTGAGCCATTAAGCCCAAACCTGAGACCTCCCCATCCTAGATCTGTGATTTGGGTCTACTCTGCTCTTGTAAGTGGCAAACAAGAGGACCCACCCCTTTCCAGAGGTACCAGCAGAACAGAGCACTGCTAACCCAGCTTGTGAGCTTTGTTACATCTAATGCCCATTGTTTTGTTTTGCCTTTGGCAGCAAGTAGAAAACAGAAGGAAAAGTCAGTGTATATAATGTTAATTTCTTGAAAGTTAAAAATAATCATAATAAAAAAATCCACGTGACCCACAACAGCCTCCACTAAGAGAAAGCAAATGTTGGAAGAAGCCAGAGTGTCTGTGCTTAGTGGTGTTCTGAAACATCCCCCAAGCTCCTGGTATGGCTCCTGCACACCCTTGCTTGCTGTGACACCCCTCTGGTGTGAGGCTTTACCAGGGCAGCTCTCCTGATACTGGCACCTAGAAATTACATTACCAACAGTATCTGTCAAGGCCCTTTTCTTTTTAATTTTAAGCATTTTTTAAAGGTATATATTTAGAAATAATTAATAGGATTTTTTTCCCCAGCAGTGGAATGTGGAACACAGCCTGACTTCCACAGCTTGGCCAAGTCCATTCTGCCTGGTACAATCTCATTTATTTAAATAATCACTGCGAGTTCCTTGCAGTAGTCTGTCCCAGTGGAGAACTCGGAAGCATCTGCACCACAGAGGAGCAGTGCTTCCATCAGCCTCTGCAGCTTAATGTGTGCTTCCCCACCAGAGCAGCATTTATCAGGCAACACTACTGTGAGGCTGATTGCTGGAGGGAAGCTTTGAGAACTTGGGGTTTATTCAGCGGGGCTCACAAATTCTCTAAAATGTTTTCATCTGCAGGGGGCAAATGAGTGCTATTTTGGGAAGAAAACACTGCAAACTTTTCAGGAGGAAAGTATATTCTGCAGTTGGGAGATGTTGGTGAGTGCTAAGGAAAGGTGCTGCAAGGAGCACAATTACACTTGACCAGTGAGTGGGAAAGGATGAAATAGGAGAGTGAGTGTGTGCATGGTGGCACTATTGCTTTTTGAGGCTGTCATGAGAGCCTCATTGTGCATAAGGCCCTACCTACACTGTTCAGAATTACCCAAGTGCCATTTGTTCAGCCATGACAGGATGTAAGTTTTAACACCTTTCAATGTGTGGCTCCAAATGGCTTTGATACACAGCGTAGTGACAACCATAAAATCATTAGAGGTCTGTGCATTTATTACAACAGCATAAGCTCTGGATAATTGGGAAGGCACTGCAAACTCATTGCTGGGAAATGATTCCTGATACTTAGCCAAAAAACTTTATTAATCATCATCTTAGGTCTCCTAGTTACCTTTGTCAGACTAGCCCTTGTGTTCTCTCCTTTTCATCAACACTTGCAGCCTTCAAACACTTGCAGAGTTATCTCCTTGCCACACATCACCGTGCCCAAGGCAGCTGTGAGGACAGGGGAGGCTGTAACCCTGAACATCAGAATGCTGAACTCTGTCAATCACCATATTTGAATTTATAATCTTAACAGGAAAAAGCCCAAACCTCAGAACCCCTTCAGAGCAGTGGGCCTTTAAACTACAAAAGGCTTGAGTCATGGAAAGAATAATGAGATCATATTTTGTTAGCAGAATTTTAATCCTGAAATCAAACAAGATCAGGGACTAGTCTGCTTGGAGAACACACGGGGCTCCATCCTGCTGTCTGCCTTGGCAGAGGGAGTGTGGTAGTGCTCAGTGTGAGATTTTTCTCCCCAAAGGCCCTTGTATTCCTTGCATCTTGCACAGGAAATTTAGGGAAGTGACATGGACTAGTGGGAAAAAAAGAAAGCAAACAGGAGAACTCAAGTTAATCCCGACTGTGCTGTTGAGAGGCAGTGCTTGCCCATGGATGCCTTGGGCTGTGAAATGCTGTCTAAGCTGCTAGTTGAGTTTTGGAGCTTAGTGTAGAAAGATGCTTCCTCTACTTGGAGTACTGTAAGTGGAATGAGACCCCCTCATTTCATCATGAGAGAAGACTGGACTGTTCCAGGTTCTGCTCTTGATGCCCCTGGTGTGAAACCAGACAACCTGGGGCACTGCCTGAATTGCCAACAGAGCTCTTTGGTACATGGGAAGGGACCAGATCAGTCTCCCACTTACCCCTGCTGCTCCACCCAGCTGTGTCAACTCAGAACATCTCTCACAAACACTGTGACTCTGCTTTCCCAGAAAAAAACCCCCTCACATTTATCACTGCCTAGTGCTTACAGGCCTTAAAAAATCAGGGGACGTGCAAGTCTCCCAGTCAGTCCCATCTGATGACAGGCTCGAGTTACCCTTGACTCCAGACATAGCTTTGCAATCCTGTTTCTCAACTCTAACAATTAGATAACACTGAGGATTTACATCCCACAGTCACGTTAGCCTTACCAGTCACCAATCTGCAGGATCCCTAAGGCCATCAAATGGACTGAAGCAGAGAGTGACACATGGAGAGAAGGGAATGAATTTGAAATTCAGAGGATATCTGATACCTTGTAAATAACAAGTCTGATTCTGTGAAACCATGGGCTGACATCATGCTATACATCAGTGCCTATTCAGGGAAGGCTGTCTGCTTTGCAACAGAAATGTGTGTTGAGAGGGAAGAAAAAAAATCCCCAAACCAGCAAGAATGAAAGCAAGAAGAATGAAAACAGTTGCAGATACAAAGCAGAGAAGATGATTTATACGTGTTCATGCAATTCCTGCTTTGTCAAGACTGATCTTTTCAGGTACTCCTTCTTTGTCTCATGTGTGTATTTCAAACACAGAAAAGGTTTAGCTGGAAGGAAGCCAATATCCAGCCCCAGGCAATGATTAGTGAATCCATTTGGAGGAGCACACTTATCTTTGACAGACAGAGAGATTTCCAGGAGTCAGATATATTGGCAGCTGTCAGAATGAGAGGCTGGAAATTTACAGCCTGAATCATACTGAGCTCATCCAAGAGACACAGAGACACTGCCACAAAATCTTCAGACTCATGTTTTCCTTGCAGTCAGTTGTGAGGGTTCATAAACACAATTTTATTACCCTTTGCTCACTCTGCACATGCAGGGTTTATCTCCATATAACTTATGTGAGTGTATTAGGTGGTGTGCTCAGTGTGTTAGCAGGGATGGCTGGGGCCTGCACACTCACAGCACGGCCCCAAAATCGCTGCTTTCCAAGCAAGAATCACCAGGCCCCTGTTTCCAGTTAACTTGTTAAAACAGTTTAACAGTTAACCAGGAGCTTAACTTGTTAAAACCTCCTGCAGGGACAGGACGTGAGGCACCCATTCCCACGGGGAGGACGGGTCAGTGCTGTGTTGGAGCACCCATTCCCACGGGAAGGACAGGTCAGTGCTATGTTACAGCACCCATTCCCACGGGAAGGACAGGTCAGTGCTGTGTTCAAGGCACCCATTCCCACGGGAAGGACAGGTCAGTGCTGTGTTCAAGGCACCCATTCCCACGGGGAGGACGGGTCGGTGCTGTATTCAAGGCACCCATTCCCACGGGGTGGACGAGTCGGTGCTGTGTTGGAGCACCCATTCCCACGGGGAGGACGGGTCGGTGCTGTGTTGGAGCACCCATTCCCACGGGAAGGACTGATCGGTGCTGTGTTGGAGCACCCATTCCCACGGGAAGGACGGGTCGGTGCTGTGTTACAGCACCCATTCCCACGGGGAGGACGGGTCGGTGCTGTGTTACAGCACCCATTCCCACGGGGAGGACGGGTCGGTGCTGTGTTAGCCCCGGCCCGGCCCGCAGCTCCCGTACCTGAAGCCCTGTGGGCACACGCAGGTGTAGCCATTGACCGCGTCCACGCAGGCGGCTCCGTGCCGGCACTTGTGGCCCACGCAGTCGTCATCATCCACTTCACAGTGTTTGCCGCTGTAACCCGGCAAGCACTCGCATCTGAAACGCAGGAACATCCCCGTTAATGGCTCGTTTCAGCACTCACACCGGCAGCTCACACAGGCAGCCTAGCACCTGTTGGATTTGGGGTGGGGAAATGTTTGCAATTATTCCTGGCAGCATCAAGCACAGCTCCTGCCATCAGAAAGGCTCAGGTCCCTCCAAACTGGCTGCACTTGAGGTTCTGCAATCTGCTGAAATTAGAATCAAAAGCATCGCCATCCTAGAGGTTCTCCTCAGCAGAGTCTGTGGAGAAGGGCGTTCACCTGGCAGACTCCCAATCGTGCTAAAGACGACAATGCCCTCCCTAACCTTACAGACTCAAGGGGCAATATTCTGCAAGGGCAGTGGCTCTGATGCCCCAGAGTATGATTTTGCCAGTGTCTGCACACTGCTGGGTGTCTGAGCTTGGCCCTGTGCAGCTTCATGGAGCACAGGAAGGGTCTACCTTCCAAATGGAAACAATCTGTAAACGAGCTATAAACCTCAGAAAATTCAAAGAGAAAGACCAAGTTTTGAGACCACCACCTGCTTTCCATTCATTTGCAAGGCAAAATGCTGCTGCAACAATGGAAAGCTGTCTTTGCAGTGTGTCCTTTGCCATGGTGACACTGCACCTTCTGCTGTGGGGTGACACCATGGGATGGAGCACAGTGGGATGTACCCAAACCTGCAGACATTACCTGTTGGTTTTATTTTATACAATTCTCAAGTTTGCTGTACGAAGGCTGCATCAGCATTTCTATTTTTAAGTCTTGCAGAAGTTTATAACCTGACAATAGAAAAATAGAAAATGCATCCCAAAGTCTCTGACTTGGATCAGATCTTTTTGGGATTGCTGAGCAGCCTTTTTTTGAATCTATACTGTAGACAATGTTTAGTCATGAACATTCTTTAGTCCATAAAACACATTTTACTCCTCCCAGCTGGATGTTGCTGCATATCTGGAAAACGAAAGGCATACCACTTCGACCAAATCAGGGGAAGAGCTACAGAGAATTTCATCAATAAAAGAGAGGTTTGCACTCTTGCTAGAGCCTGTAGTTGGACCCAACGTGCTAGTCACCAAGAGCTGGAAGAGGAGAGACATTACAAAGCTGAGGATGTGGCATCAAGAGAGAGACTGCTCCATCAATCTATTCAGCTGGCCTACTCCTTCTCCCTGCAGCAGCCTGGTGGGGTAAATGCAGGAGGAGGCACTTTGTGCAAAACCTCTTCAGAGGAATTGGACATGCAGGAGTGATGAGGAAAAAACATTTCCACTTCCCAAGCAGTAGTCATTGTGCTGACTGCTGCTCTGAGTGACAGCACACAATGCAACAGTGTCCTGTGAGTACCAATGGCAGGGGAGTGGCTGACAGGGTGACAGCACAGAGAATGTGAGCTCCAGTCTCCCTTTCAGAGCGCCTTGACTGGCTAAACCTGGAGGAAATGGGGCAAAGCCTGTTCACCTGCGGCAGGGTTAGGTGCAGGCAGACACTCCACCCTCCCTGCAGGAGGGGCCCCATCACCAGCCTCTCCAGCCACAGGAGGGTCCATGTCCCAGCTCTGCATGTGTGAATTGCTTTTTTGCACCTTGGTGGCTCAGGGAATACTGTGATTAACATAATGGAGATGACAAATCAGAGCAAAGAGCAAAAAACAAAAGGTGTTCCTGCCCCAAACCCTAAGAAATGGGCAGCGTTTTCTGGCAGCATTGCAGACACACCTGCAAGGAAATAGTGTCAATCAAAAGACTTTGTGAGGGGAATTGGCAGCATTTAATCCTGTTGTTTTTTATTGATCCCTGCAGTCCTAATATAAAGTGATGTAATAATGAACAATGTGCAGTTCCTTATTCAGGGCTGCCATGCATCAATTTTATGATGTGTATTGGCTATCTCAGTAATGACAGAACCACCACTTTTCTCTGTGGGGCTGCATTAAATCAGCATTTTAAGCTGTCAGGTAATAATTCCAAGCTTTAGAATAATAAAGTATATTTATATCATGCTCCAACATCACTACAGTGAATGGAAAAACATGCTCCTTTCTTGAAGTTATTTTTTGGAAGTAATTTTATTGTGTTAAAGGCTCTTTTTTTGTTTTGTTTTCTGGCATACAGAAAGCTACTCTTCTTCTATATAGTATAACAGCATACTACAGATGTGGAGGCTGGAAGGGAGGAAAGCCACCTGCAAATTTAACTCCAAAAGCAAAGAGCTCTGTGCAGCCAAAGACACACTGAAATAGTCCAGTTTGCTTCCCAGCTTGGCTTTAGAAGCATGCAATTCCTTTTGGGTCAGTCTTCTCTGAGCTCTTGGTGTGTCACATCTAGGCTGAAGCTACCAGAAAATGCCTGCCTAAAGTCTAGGAGGTGAGAAATTCAGCCCCATGAGTTCTTCATCCAGACTGCTCCTAGAAACTCAGGGTCTGTGCCATCAGGGAATGGTGGCATGGTAACTCCATCCTTATTCCAAAATACCACACAGTGCCAGCAAGGGACTGAATGTCAGTCAGTAAAAGTCTGATGCAGTAAAGAAGGTGGCAAAGAAACCTTCATGTTCAGATCCTGGTAAGAGAGTAATTTACATGATTCCATAGTTACCTAATTTCCCAGTGACCATCTGAGACACCACTACAGTTGACATCTTGCTTTCTGTTACAGCCTTGTAGTGATGGCAACATTCCCAGTATCACAGAGAGCCTAAAAACATGTCCAGTGGTATTTAAATTGTTGGCCTATCCGAGGGGATTTGCATCTGCATGCTCTCAGTGTCTGTTGTATTAAAGCCGTGAATCAAGGCTTCTATTGCAGGGCCAGAATGGAATTTCCCTCCCCACGTCAATAAATAACTCGGCTTCCTATTTTTTTTTCCTGTCTTTGTCATCTTTTCTTCCCTCTGCAGAGCTGCAGACTGACTAGAGCTGAGGGCAGGACAGACAGACTGGTGTGTCCTGCTCACATGCCCAGGGCATAAACAGCTCAGGGACAAGCCTGACCCCTGCCACTAACTGTTCCTGCCTCTGGAAGCAGACAGAGGACAGGCAGCAGCCTGGCTCCTCCTGCAGGATCATTATCCTGCACCATCAGGAGACCAGGCTGCTCAGGGGATCAGCTACAGCACAGGAGCAGAGGCTGCTGTTTTCAGTGAGCCCCGGCAGCATCCACACCTCACTGCACAACTCCTGAGGGCTCATTTCTGAACGGTTTGGTGCCACTAAAGTATGAAAGAAATAGCAATGCTTGGACACCTCTACATTCAAGGCTTCTTCACCTCTCAAGTCTGGCTGCTAGAAAGCAAAATGGGACAGAAGGAATAAAGAAATCATGGATTTTTCTGTAGCATTCTGTGAATAGTGGGAAGAATAGCACAACAAACAGTAGCAGAACACCTTAAAGCAGTTATTTAAGCTCCCCTCAAGGGCTAGTGGCCCTACTGTGAAGAACACTTTTCTAGCAAGCATGTGAGAAAAAGTATCTTATTTACTCACATTGTTTGGGTGGCAGGTATGACAATGCTTCCAGCAAGAGAAAAACCATTCAGGGCCACAGCTGTCTCCATCCCTCCATGGTCTAATAGAAGGCAATTTGAGTTACAAGCCTTCGCCTCATAACATTATGTACTACTGAATTAACCTAAGATACTGAATTACCAAATTATGGATTAACTGGGAATAAAACCTGGAAAGAACATCAGGGACTATTTATGCACTGGCACACACCTCCTTATCCAGTCCCTAGACATCAGTTCAGGAACCATCCTAAACATTTGATAGCTTCATCTTCTTCAAGATTTGGAAATATTTCTGTCTAGTGGCTTTTTCACCCAAAAGAAAGGCTTGTGTTGTACTGCCTAACTGTCTAGCAGAGAGTCAGCTGCCCTTGAGATAGCCACCCTCTCTAAGATTTTGGTTCATTTCCTTTTAACTCTCTTGAAATGTCCTGTGTCAGTTTACATGGTTCTGAATGCTGGTTGCTTCACAGGACACAATCTGACCCCAGCTGGAAGTTACTAGGAAGAACAAAGCCTGCTACCTTTCCTCTTCCTGAGTGTGCTGGACAGAACCCCAGGAGGGAATCAGTGAGCAGCCAGGGCTGCCCTGTGCCTGTGAAAACAGCCTTAGGGGAAGCTGCAGAGAGCAGCTCCCTCTGCACTGAACTCTCTTGGATTTGTCTCCAAAGATCTTTCCCTGACAAGCTTTTCACAGAGCTTGACTTTTCAATTGACTGTCTCTGTTTGCTAAATTGCTCTGGAAGTCCTTCTTGAGACAAGTGATAAATGCTGCCACTGTGCACCTCTCACAACTCCCCAAGCCCAGACCTCCAGGGCTTTGCTGCCATCCAAAACACAAGGCTTTCTTTCGCCCCTGTGGAACAATGTCATTCCCAATAGGAAACTGCAAACACAGACATCACCAAACCCAGATGAGCCAAGCAAGGCCAATGGAAAAGGTGGCTCCTCGGTTGGAGCCATCCAGCTCTGGATCTAAGGCTCCTGTTATATTGCTTGAATTTTTTAGTGCCCTAAGGAACACATAAGGAAAAATGTCCTTGGTTTGTGATGTAGGATACTTTGTAGTGACTGTTCCATAAATTCTCCTATTGCTATGCTCTATTCCAGAATAATTCCTCTGCTCTGAGGGTACATCCATTATTTTCAAGTAAACCACAGAAAGCTAGAAAAGTATGTATTGATGCATTAAAGTTAAAATGTGGCCCAGACTGAAATGTATATAGTCTTGCATTATTATTGTGTTAATTTTGGTGATTTTTGCTCCACACTCATTGCCAGTACAACCCCAGTCAAGCCAATGGAATGTGCTCTCTGCAGAGACCAACACACACACACTCTTACCTGGCTCCTTTGTCCAGGGGAACACATTTGGACTCATGTTGGCAGGGATTTAGATCAGGAACACAGTGGTTAATCACCTCATCACACAGTTCACCTGAGGCAAAGGAAAAGCAAAAAAGCTGTAACACAGCTTGAACAATCCTGAACTCCCATGATGTCTGGGGATGGCCAATCTCTCTAAGTGGAGACAGCTCAGTAGTTCAGCAGGAAGTGACAAAATTGCTTGTTGAGGGCACATGAGACTTCATTAAATCAGCTCCTTTGACCTACAGTGACCACACTGTTTCTATCACATGGATTTGAAAGGCTGGTATAAAAAGCACTGACGTATAAACTCCACTTGGAGACAGACGAGGGATCAAATGGGCAGTTCCTGACCCAGAACCTCTTATTTCAAAGCAAGAAAGTGACACAAAAGTGAAGTTGCTCATTAGACTGTAACATTTTCACACGGGCACATATTTCAGCCATGGTTAATATGCTGCCAAAGAGGCTGATTGGACATCGTTCTGGGAAAGAACAACAACCCACAAACCCTCCCCCCAAAACCTCTGCGACTCTCCATAATAGAAACCAGCTTTAGGACTGCATGCAATTATAAAACATTCACTATTTATAAGAGAAGTGCTAGCTCTATTGTGCTCACAGGAGATGATGTCTTTTCAGAAAAAAATCCACCTCATGAAAGCCCAGCTCAGCTGTTTCTAGGTACAGTGTATAACATGCCATGAACCTCCTTGGATTTGTGTAAGTTTTAATAATTAATAGTTGTAGAATGTTCAAACCGTGACAGTTTATTTAAATACAATCTTTCTCTGAGTCCTAAATTATTAGGTCACACTTCAGTACCCCAGGATTTGAGATCCAGCCAAAGACCACAGAGATCTTTGCCTTCTCCAGAATCCAACAGAAACCTACCCCACACCTCCCAAAGCCTTGCAGGAAAAGCAAAGGTCGGGTAATCTCAACATGGAACTCCCCAAAGGCTGCAGTCTCAAAACACCCTGTGCAGCTCTAGCAGAGGAGCACATCTGCAGAGTTTCAAGGTTATACATATTTTCTGTGCCTACACATGGTACACACTGTCATATAAGCAACAGGCCATGGGAATGGTGGGGAAAAAGGGTAATGAGGGAGGCACTGGTGGGCTGACATTGTTCTGGAAAGTTTTCATGGAGCTGCTCCACCTGTCTTGGGAGAAATGCCATTTTCAAAAGTCGTTACATTTCTCCACATTTTAGTGGAGAAAACACAAGCCAAGCAAACCACAAAGATCAAAATTCAGATGGAAAATGCAAATCAGAACCATCCATCTTTTATCAGTTCTGTGATCAGGTGGGCTGGGTGAGAGCACAATTTTGAGGATGCCTCTGGTGCTGATAGGTGTGGTTTTTCAACTCCTCCAGGTGCTAATGCTCTGTCAGGTTATTTCTCCCATGTGTCCAGCCTCCCTCCAGCACAAAATACACAGCTCTTGATATGACTCTTCCTATTAGAATGGAAGTATAATATGTATTTGCCAAAATTTCTCAATTGTTTTTGCGTTTTTCAAACATGGAATGTGCCCTAGATCTGCTTTTGAGAGCTGTCAAGTGCAAATGAGAGCAGGAATACAATGCTTGGGAGGGGGCACTGCCAGCACAAATCCCATCCTCATGGGCCATACACACCCTCCTGACTTTGTGGTAGGCTGGGTTTGGCACTACCAGGGGAGTCTGGCATGGCAAGCTGCAGTTTATTGTTCACAGCATCAGTTACAAGACAAACAATTCCACCTGGAGCCAAGGAATGCCAGGAAGTCACCACTATTAAATGCTACCAAGTCTTTTCATAGCCCTGGACAAACCCTGTGCAAATACAGTGAACGTGTCCAGCTCAGGAAGGGGGATGTGCCAAAGGACCTGAACACTGCAGGTCCATGGGAACCAGGGAACAGATCACTCACTGGGCTTGAGGTTGGCCACTGTACTTTGTTGCTCCTCAAAAGCAACGAGAGATGTTCAGGTCTTAGAGCTGTGAACACTGGGAACAGCTTCTGAGGTGGCAGAACTGGGATAGGTCTGTTTACTGCCATCCCCAAATCCACAGGCCACCAACGTTCCCAAAAACTAACAAAGGCACTCCCTCAGCTTTGGGGCAGACTTGAACATGAGCAGGTCAGACCTTGCTACAATGCTCGGAGAATTGCCAGTTTGTCATCTTGATATTCCCCATGTCCCTCGTGTGCTATGGATCTTATGTGAAAATAAACATTAAAAAAAAATTAACTGACTGTTGACATTAAAAGAGCTCAAATGAGCTAAAGCTGGAAATAATTTTGGAAGACCATCTAATAACTGAAGAGAGCGTGGATAGATGCCTTCAACTATCCTTTCACTAAAAATGGTCAATACATACTTTTGAAGTTTCTATTTTTTCTTTTGTTTTGTTTTGAAGCAAAGGAAACAAGCTTTAAAGAAATATGAACAGTATCAAAACTCTCAAAGGAAATCATAAGTCTTCTTAAAGTATTCTTCTGAACAGTCTTGACAAGTGCTTAGAGATCCAGTAAAAATCTCCCCAAATGTCAAATATTATGACTCACTGTGTCATTCCAAAGACACCACTATCAAAATGTAGGAGAATTCTAGGCTAGGTACCAAACACAGCATCCAAAAAAATGATATTTTTCATGTAAAACTTGGAACATTTAAGGATCCTTCCTGTTATTTTTCGCATCTATCACTCATTAGGGAGCTCACTTGGGAATGCCTTGCAACTAGAGCAGCCTCATCTCAGGAAGAAAATGCCTCTTGGTCATTATTTCAGGCTCCACCAATGTTCAGTAGATGCTGCAGAAACCATGCCAGGGAAATAAAACACTTTTTGAAAAGCAAAACCCAAGGCACCAGCTACACAATGTCTTTCTCTCATTTTATTCACTCAGAAAATATCTGGGCCAAAAAATCTGCCCTCAGACCTGAGAGCACAATATTCATTGGTCACTTTAATATCAGTATCAGAGGAAAAATATGATCCTCTTTTTTTTTTTTTGTTTTGGAGTGACACAGGGCTGCTTCTCTGTGCAGCAATTAAAGGTCTAGTCCAAATTTCTCACTGGATAGTTATGTGAACCTAAAAACAAACCGGACATTCATCTTAGGCCAACTCCTAGCAGCACTGATTCTCTTTGTGGAAGATATTTGATCATGCTAAAACAAGAGAAAACTTCAGTCTAATGCTTCCCCAAGTGTAGAAAACCATCCATCCTCCCCATTTTCCTCTCTCCTACATGTTCACAAATCACAGCTCCAATTTGGGTACACTTAAACAGACAGGAAAACCACAGGTACATTTCTCTTCTACTCAGTTAAACGACTCTTTTAATCCCAAATAAGCCTTTTGTTCCATCAAGGCACACTTATTCTCTTTAATCAAAGCTGAAGAGAATAGGTAACATGCAAGCAGACGCTGGACAGATGAAGAGAGCAGTCTGATATACCACAAAATATTGCAGTTTTCAGATTAGAATCAAGTTATAATGACAAGTGGAACTTTAACAGGTGGATCTCCCTTTGCTGCTGACTCATGCAGAAAAAAAAAGGAAGACGGAAAAAAAAAGAGAGAGGAAAAAATCCCCGGACAATAGCCAAGGTACTTGCTCCTTCAAAACTACCTCCCTTGTCCCCCTCACTGGCACTGCCTTAAAAAAACACAGCATTTTTTTTTTTCCTCTTGCAACATTTCCCTGGCCTTAGTTTTCAACAGAATCATGAATTTCATGGGGCTTTCCACAGGGCTCACTGCTTATGAAGAGCTGCCAAGAAACAGGCGTAGGCTTTTCTGTAGCCTTCCCCACGTCTCAGAATGAAGCCAAAACAACAATAGGGTAATAAAGATGACTTTTACACACAGTTTAATAATCATCTATCTTTTTTTCTGTTCTGTGCTGTCATGAGAGCTATTTATTTCATGCCCCATTAGACTTCTAAAACCAGGATCCAAGCTACACTATTTCTCCCTAATCAGTAAAAGAGAATCTGGATGCAGTAAAAGTATTTTACTTATTTATCTTTAAGTGAAACTGCAGTTCTGAAAAAACAATGTAGAGCACCAATTTGCAACCAATGACTTCAAAGACTTTGCTTTTATTCCATATGTTAGTTGGGTGATATTTTGTTGTAATATACTGACAAAACAACATAGAAAATATCCCTGTCCTCAATGCACGAAAAGTTTAGTAGGGCCTGCAAGACTGGCAGAAAATATGCTGTTGAGAATTTCACAATATTACTTGAGAAAAGGAACGTGCTTATGGTGAAGAAAGGATGGAGGAGGCCTGGCCTGTATCCACAGTGTGGAAACTTTTCCAGGCTGCACAGGGTGAGTGGTTAAATAGTGTGTTGCAACATTCTGCACTCTGCCAGGTAAGTCCGAATGGAACTCGTCTCTTTGCTGCTAATAAAAAACATTGTGCTGTTTTTCTCAAAGGAGATTGCTCATTTTATATCTAATAAATTGTATTGGAAGAAATGTTTTCTGTGTTTTGTTTTCCCCTTTTTCTCTGTTCAGTCATTAAAAAGAAGTTGGTGCCAATTAGAAGTTTCAGAACACTGAACCTAAAAATGGTTGGGTGGAATAGACAGGATGTTCCTCCAAGGAAGTAATTCAGTAAGGAGTGTTGTTGATGTTGTTTGATGAAAAATTATTTGAGGCTCATCTAAGAAAATTTTAAAAAAGAATTTTTTACTTCCAAAGTATTTCAACTTGCAATGAAGAAATGAGAAACTCTGTGAAATCCTTCAGCAGCAAATGCTATTGTGTTAGATACAAAACTATAATAGAAATAACTGAAATGCACTGTAGCAGAGTAAATTCTGCATGATCACTGAAGTTTGCTCTTGCATGACAAACATTGCCCACAATACTTATCAGGCAAAGAGTTACTTCATGCTTTTTATCCTGTCTTAATTGTTCAAAACTCCCAAGTTTCCATTTACCAGGTTTTGACCTGTTAAGTGGGAATCCTTAAGTTTGATTCCACACTGGGATTCCCACAGTGGCTTGTTTTTCAGATTCAAGGAATAATTCTCCCTAACCTTAAGGTTCAACAAA